GCCAAGAAACAGATCAACGATTATGTAGAAAAGGGAACCCAAGGAAAAATTGTGGATTTGGTCAAAGAACTTAGCGAAGACGCACTTTTAGCTCTGGTGAATTACATTTTCTTTAAAGGTAAGGTTGCACAACCAACCTGAGCTTGTTCCCATGGAAGCAGCCAAAAATATTCTCAAACACTCAGTTCTTAAACTTTCCTTTGCAGTGCAGGATAGGATCTCAGGTTGTGTTATTCGATTTTCCAAACACAACCACTAAAAAACTTCCCACAATCAAATAAGGTTAGGGAATGATGGGTTCAACAGTCAAAACATTGTCTTCTCTGCAGGACTTTTCATAGCCTTTAGTATCCTGTTGTGCATTGTAAATCCCTACCAGGGAGGGAACTTCAATATGCAATATCTCCCAAAATAGAGATCCAGAAAAACAGATTGTACCAGAGTGTATGAAGGGAATAGTGTTTCATGAAACATACTTTGAACAACTCTAGTGTAGTGGAAATAGTGACAGCTTTGGAGTCAGAAAGACCGGGCTTCAAATCCTACCTCTTGCGCTTCTTAGCTGTTTGACTATGGGCAAGTCATTTTACCTCCTGGAGGTTCTAGTTTCCTCTCTGTAACATGGACATAACAATTCCCTTGTTGTCAGGTTGCTGTAAGAATTGGACACATTACAGAAAACATGGGACCACATGCTCACATAGTAGGTGCTCAACTAAACTTGATCTCAGCCTTCCTCCCTCTGAGTGCTGACACTGTCAGGAACCTGTAGGCCCCAGAGGGCATCCTCAGGCAGTTTAAACAGTCCACAGGAATAGCCGGGGGTAGGGGAGGTGAGAGTCAAGGCCAGGGGCTGCTTCCTTCACACTGTTGGCTCCTTGCCTTGAGGCAACAGTGCGATGGTGAGGGCCGAGCTGGAGTTAGCACATCTAAGTCCCAGCTCTGCTATGGGCTTAGGGTGGGCCTCATCGCCTCTCCAGCCTCCATCTCCATCTCCCGTCCAATGAGAACATTGGGCTCACGGTCCCTGGGGCTCTGCCCATCCTGACTTGGCAGGATGGTGACGTTCTGTTGGTCTAGCAGAGGGGAGCTCCCCAAGCGTACGCATTTCACGTGTTGGTCCAGGAAAAGGCCATCAGGGTAAGAACGAGAGTGATGTCCCCAAATGATGGGAACTGCCCGCTAACGAGGGGCAGGGAGCCTCAGGCAAGGAGGTGCCAAGTATGACCGGTGCCAATAATTTTCATTTAGAATCTCCAAAGCCACCCTCGAATAAATAAGCATGAAATACAAGTAAAAATGCTTACTCTGCACAGCCAGAGCACCATCCCTTATAGACGCCAATATAGAAATTCCTACTCCTGTCTTGCATTACCCTCACAAAAGTCCTTTCCGGAGACTGACTTTGCTTTAGCCCCATTTTACAGATGGTGAAGCTGAGGCTCAGAGAGAAGCATCTCACCTCAGAGAGTCAGGGCTCCTTTCTTCTACGACACTTTTCTAAACCTCTTCCCACCCCGGCTGATGCCCACCTTCCCTTCTCTCCAGGCAAATGGGAGAAGCCCTTCAATGTTGAGTTGACCACAGAGGAGGACTTCCATGTGGACGAGAACACCACAGTCAAGGTGCCCATGATGAACCGCCTGGGCAAGTTTGATGTCCACCACTCTGACACTCTCTCCAGCTGGGTGCTGCTCCTGGACTACGTGGGCAACACCACCGCCTTCTTCATCCTGCCCGACCAGGGGAGACTGAAGCACCTGGAGGACACGCTCAGCAAGGAAATCCTCGCCACGTTCCTGGAAAAGAGATCCTCAAGGTGACTTTCCAACCAGGGCTGACCCGGGAGCTGCCACACAAGGCCTGGCCAGAGGGTGGGAGGGTGGACCCACATCCCACGGGCCACAGCCACTGTGCACGACCTTGTGCTCCCAGACAGAGGCCCGCGTCAGCTCAGGGAGACCAGCTGGGCTCCGTGGGGGGGACAGGGCCCACGGGTGAGGAGGCCAGAGTCCTGTCCCTGGGGTCTTCCTCCCCAGCACGGACACTGCCCCTCCCCGGTGCCGGGGCCCAGTGCAGGGTGAGCAACACCAACACACGCCATGGGAGAACGGAGAGGGAATAGGTGGGCTTCCCGGCAGGGGAGCAGTTGATGTGGAGTTAGAGGAGGGAAGGTCACGGCTGGGCAGGGGAACCTGCTCAGAGAGGCCGGAAAAGGGAAGGCCCGGAGTGGCGACCTGCAGCACGTGTTTGAGGATGTTGGGCTTCCTCCGTCACCAGATCAGTGTGGCCGGATTGGGGCTCTCGTAGTGAAGTCATACCTGAGCATGCGCCCCAAATTAGAGCATATCCCCATATTCATAAAATGCCCACCCCCCCTGCACTATTCCATTATGTACATTATAAAAATATCCATCAATATATAAATATGCTTAATATAAACATATGTAAATAATCAAATGAATTAAAAATAGATAAAATAAATCATATATAAGAGAATACATAATAAACGTATATATATGAAAATGAAAATAGACAAGAAGATACGTCAAGATGAAACAAGAAGTTTTAGTACCTCTCCCCACCCCCTCCGTCTTCCTGCACCAGAGGCTGAGTGAACAGAACAAGGAGGGGCTGAATCCAGAACGGCTCAGACAGACCCCGAGTGCCAGTCAGCTCACCTGTCAGACCCTCCTGGGGCCACACTTTGTCTCCATGGAAACCGAGGGCTGAAACCAGCCCTGCATTCACTCATCATTCACTGAACAGATGTCACTCAGACCCCGACACTTCTCAGGGGAGGTGGCGTTGGAGAGGCTTTGCAGGACAGGATGGTCCCTGTGATCCTAACATTCTCTGACACGGGTGTGGAGGAGCTAAAAATAGAATAAACCCAGGCTGACCTCGCGTCCTCGTGTGGGCAGGGGGACAGGGCGCTAAGTGGGAGAAATGACCAGAAGGGAAACACATTCAATGGTCTGAAACTCCTTTGTTTTCTAACCATTGTGACAGTTTCGTCAATTTACGTTTGCCCAAACTGTCCATTTCTGGAACCTACAATCTTAAAACCGTCTTGGGCAACCTGGGCATCACCAAGGTCTTCAGCAACCAGGCTGACCTCTCGGGGATCACTGAGGAAGTGCCCCTGAAGGTGTCTAAGGTGAGTTTGTCCCTGTGTCTGTAGGTCAGAGTGTGTCCGGGGGCCGCAGCTCAGGGGTGAGTGTGAGCACACAAACACACCTGCAGATGGAGGTCCTCTGAGGACGGCCACTGGAGTCACCCAGACTGGAGTGTGGTCAGAGGACTGAGTGCAGGAGGCGCCTCACGGGCTTCGGGCATTGTAGGGGCCTCCTCTGAGGTGGTGAGCCTCTCCCTCAGTCTCGTCTTCGTTCAGGGCCTTCCCTTCTCTGGGCCTCGATGGACCCATATTCACAAAGTCAGCCCCTGGCTCGGGATTATCAGAAGACTTTTGGCCCCGGCGTCCTGTGACGCTGGGAGCTATTGGCGAATCACTGAGTCCGAGTAAACATGTGATTTTGGCTGAGACGCCATTTATTCAGGAGAATTCAAGGTGACCAGAGACAACTGAGGGTCAATGACAGTGCAAAGTGAGCACCTGCTTGTGGACTAGGTGCTGTGAAGGTCCCCATCTCAGTCCTCGTCCCCAAGGAGCTTAAAATCTGCTACTAGAAACAAGAGACGTGCCAAGGAGGATGAAGCGAAGAACATCTTCTCCCCCTGAGGTTGTGGGCTGTTTCCCAGGGAGGCTGAGGGTGTTGCTCAGGAGGAGACGTGAGGGTGCGCTGGTGCAGTCAGGCAACGGCCTTGAGGAGGTGGGGAAAGGCCTGTGTGCCCCCGCAGGGAGGGTGGACGAGGACGGGGAGGGACAGGCCGGGTGGAGAAAGGCCTGAGTGACTGAGCCCTCCCGGTCACGCCCTCCTCATCGGGCTTTGCTCCCAGGCCCGGGTCGGGGGCGGCCCCCTGCCCCTGCTCAGGACAGGCCTCTGTGCTCTCTCCCCTCCAGGCAGTGCACAAGGCTGTGCTGACCGTCGACGAGGAAGGGACTGAAGCTGCCGGGGCCACAGGGATGGAAATCATGCCCGTGTCGTTACCCCCAGATGTGGAGTTCAACAGGCCCTTCGTCTTAATCATCTACGACAGATACACCAAGAGTCCCCTCTTCGTGGGAAAGGTGGTGGATCCCACCAAAACGTAACTTCCTCTCTGGTTTAGCCCCCACACCAGGCCAGACCCCCGACATTAAAGAATGGCTGACCCGGCCCAAGCTTCAGTGTGACGTGCAAGTCCCTCATCCTCTTGTCTCTGAGTCTCCCTTTACGTCCTCAGGATGTGTGTGACCCCAGGTCATAGCAATCTTTCCTGTGTCCGCTGTATTAATATCGGTTAGGCATTGACACCATCCAGGCCCCGTGCTAGCTAGACCACGATGAAATGTTGGCCGAAACCCACAGCTTACTGACATGGGAAAGCTCCAGGCCTCCCAGTCTTGTCTGGGAATCCCCAAGGGGGACTCTCTCGGGCTCAGAGACCAGCCCGAGGCCCCCACCTCCACCACGCGTCCACTAGCTCCACCTGCTAAGCCCCCACCCCTGCCAGTGCTCACTGTACCCCCCGCCGCCTTGTGAGAGCCCCTCACCCCGTGGGGCTGCCAGTGCCGCCCACGAGGCTGCCTCCCTGCTGCCCCCGGAGCCTTCAGCTCTGCAGGGACATGGAGCTGCCACATCTGCAGCAGCAGAGGGAGAAGAGCAGGTCCCCTTCCCATCCCGCATCGTCACCTGAGCCAGGCTTGGACCCCGACAGCTCACGGGTCTTTTCTGTAAATGGCTCTGGCTGATTTCCCTGGAGCCCAGTCCAGTGGGGCTGGACTGGGAGTACACACTTCTGTCCTCATCACTTCACTTCTGCCCCAGGAATCCTCGACCTCATTACTCTTCTCCCCAGGTGAGGAGACCCAGGTGAGGGTGCATCACCTGCTCAAACTCGCCCAGCA